TTAATTTTCTTAAAAGTGAAGAATAAATTTTATGCAAAGCTGCAGGGATGAATTTTAGAGACTGACTTAGCCTTACATGCTTTTAGGGTCACTCTTAAAGGTATGTGGCATTGTCATGTCCTAACCCCTAAGTTGGGGCGTGACAATTTTTGGTATCAGAGCCAGGTTGGTTGAGATCTCTAGGGCTAGGGTTGGTTTTGTAGCCTAGTACATGGTTTGTGAGAGTGGGGTAGGAATAGAAATGGGTCATACTGCATATGTTATTATTTAAATAATATTTGTATAATATTGTTTTGTGGTTAAAGTTTTTGTTGTCCATTTTGTAAGTAGACTTGGTGAAAGGCTATGGCTGGGGGAAATCGTGGAACAGGGCGCAGGGGTAGACCACCCTTAAGTGCGCGTGCTGGTAGGAGAACTCCATTAGTTGCTAGGAGTGAACCTGTTAATCGAGATGAGGTTGAGGTGGATGATGTTCAAAATGAGTCATTGGACTCTTCTGTAAGGAATCATGATCAACATAATACAAATGTTGGACAAAGTCAACAGTTGGGACAACAAAGTCAACCAAATTTCATGGAAATTATGCAGGCTATGGCAAAGACTATGGCTGAACAACAAGAGTTAGTCAAGTCCTTGGCAGAGCAACAAGCAAGGGTGATTGCAGAGCAGCAGGAAAAGGTTTCAACACCACAGCCTACCCAAAAGGGAGGCTTAGCAGAGTTTGTTAAGCTTGCTAAGCCTTTCCATGGAGATTCGAAGGATCCACTAGAGGCAGAAAATTGGATCAAGGAAATGGAGAAGACTTTTCGAGGGCAGAGTGTCACTGAGGAGAATAAGGTGCCATATGCTGCATATTTGTTGAAAGGTGATGCAAATAATTGGTGGGAGGTAGAAGAAAGCAAGCACACTTCCCCAATTGACTGGAGTACCTTCACAGAAGCATTCCTTAAGGAGTATCTACCTGAAAGTGACAGACATGAGATGCAGCAAAAATTTCATACCCTTGTCCAAGGCGACAAGTCTGTGAAGGAATATGAGAAGGAATTCAACCGGCTTTTAAAGTTTGCTCCTCTGGCTACTCAAAAGGATGAGGAATCTAGGAGGTTGAAATTTCTCTATGGGCTGAATCCACATATTCTGTCTGAGGTTCAGAAATTTGAAGTAAGTACATATTCTACAACAGTTAACAAAGCCAAAGTGATAGAGCAAGGTCAGAAAGTGGTTATAGCAGCAGAGGAGAGTAGTGTTGGCACTAAGAAACAGAAATGGATGGGTGCCTTAAGCGGGAAAGATTCCACTAATCACAGTAATCATACAGAGCGGGAGGCAACATGGGAGTTGGAGGAAGATGCTAGGAAGAAATACCCGCAACTTTTTGATGAACAAGGTATGAGTTTAGGGACTAAACTCTTTTAAGAGGGGAAGAATGTAATACCCAGAATTTTTATTATTGTTATTATTATTTAATTCCTT